ATCAGTTCAGCTCGAACTCGTCACCTTTGAACATATGCCAATTATTTGTGACGCCTCTAAAGGCACACCCAAACCATTTCCAACCAACCCTTTCCGTAAGAAAATATTGGACGCTTATCACAGTCTTTCTCACCCCGGAATTCGCGCTTCCCAAAAGCTTGTTTCTTCACGCTTTGTCTGGCCCGGAATTAACACCAAATCAGGGATTGGGTTCGTGAGTGTGCATCATGTCAGCGCGCCAAAGTTCAACGGTACCTTGTTCCTCCATCAAAGCCCTTCTTGCAACCCGACGGAACGTTTCGGCGTCGTGCATATTGACATTGTTGGCTCGTTACCCCCATGCCAAGGCTATCGCTACCTTCTGACCATGTTTAGATCATTTCACCCGCTGGCCTGAAACGACTCCTATGCCCGACATGTCTGCAGCTACCGTCGCAGTGGCTTTTGTTTCTACCTGGATATTCCTATTTTGCTGTCCGACAACGATTGTATCGGACCAGGGTCGCCAGTTCGAATCTGCCCTCTTTTCGGAGCTCCTGAAACTTCTTGGTATTTCACGCCTGCGCACAGCGTCATATCATCCTCAAACAAACCTCGTCGAGAGGTTCCATTGGCACCTCAAAGCAGCACTCAGAGCACACGGTTGCCCCGACAAGTGGGTTGACCGCTTCCCGCTTACGCTACTTGGAATTTGATCTTCTTTCAAGGAGGACCTCTCCTACTCCACTTCCGAGCTTGTATATGGCGCTTCGCTTTGCTTGCCTGCCAATTTCTTTGAAGAAAGCGGCAGTGCCACCCAGTTAACAGCAACAGAGTACGTCGACCAGCTACGCGATGTCTTTCTACACATTCTTCCGCAACCTACACGCAGCCAGCCATGTGCTGCGTATATTGCTCAGGACCTAAAAACAGCGACACACGTGTTCGTACAGTATGGCCCTGTGTGCGCCCCGCTTCAACCACACTACCTCGGCCTCTTCCGTGTGTGAGAGTGCTGGCCTACTACCTTCGTTGTCGACATCAATGGGAAACGGGCGCTCAAGCGGCTCAAGCCAGCGTTCAGTGAAGCGCCTGATCTTAATTGCCTCGCCGTGCCCCCCTCTGCTGGACACGAGAGCCCCTCCTCGCCAGTGTTCCTCCCATCACCCCCGCTGTGCCACGTTCACTGAGATGACACTTCAACTGAGAATCGTTGGTCACACCAGCTTTCTCTCTAAGGGCCTCCTGTAGCGACGCGGCCGCTACCATGCACCCCCCCCCCCCCCCCCCGCGGTCATAAAAACCCTGCGGGGCAGCATTCCAAGCACCGTGCTGCTCTCCTCTCTGTTTCTCCTTCGTCTATTTTACTCTTGCCACTTCAGGCGCACTGCATGCACCTGCTCTATTTTCGACTCTCTTGTAGACAGAATAAAGTAGACGTTGTTACTGAAAAGACCTGTATGCCTCGTACAACCTGTCGCTCCACCCTCTACACATGCGACAGCTGCACTGATCGGGGAAAATCGAGACATTGAAGTGGGGCCTCTTTTGGGGTCAACTGATTTCACAGACGAATCGGCGAGACGAAACCCTTCCCCCTGGCTGTCGTAGTATGTGCTACATGCCATACAATTACTTGGAATGTTAATGAAACCAAGAAGGATCCAAACTAGAGGTGACTGAGGGTAGAATGGGTATTGAACTCCGCCAAGAAGTTGTGATGTTTGAGCTGTTCGAGTGAACTGTGTAGCCCAGTCAGTCGATATTGGAGAATCGAGTGATGCCGCTGTGGGTTCATTGTTTGCTTTGCAGAAGAGTGTCACTGGGACGACGCTCAGTGCTGGAGTTGGGTTTCAGTGTTCCTTCCTTGAAGAGAAATATTCAAGAAACGTTTGCAGAATTGTGGAGTACACATATGTGGTGAACATTTAAGGCCTCTGGGCGTTTTTGAGCAGCATGTAATATGCGAGATCTCATTTGTAATGCGGCAAGCTTTGTTCTTGTGGTTTTAAATACCCTCAGCCATTTCGGGGTGTGTAATTGATACCTGCCGAGTGTGCAAGTTTGTGTGATGCCTTTACTGAGAATACATTTTGTTTGTGTTGTAAACTCTAAGTTTTAACTCGACCTTTGGACCATAATCAGCTTTGTTGGTGCACTAAAAGAACCTAGATTTAAATAGTGCGAGCTTTCGTGGTGCGTTTTGGTGGGCCCATACATCAGCCCTTAGAATCTGCCCACCGATTGCCTCCCCATGAACGAAATCAGTGACCCTTTACATTTCAAGTGAGTCAAACGGGCAGCATTCATGAAGAGTATTAAGGCCTACTCTGTGAAAAATTGGCCCTCTTAGGGCAAACTATTCACACATGTGGTGCAATATCTACTTCTAATAACAATTCAGAATAGACCCCTCCTTGTCTGTAAACAGTGGGACGTCACTGCGGGCACCCCGCCCACCCTACCCTCTCTCGGAGCAGCTGCTGGTTGGCAAGAAAGTTCCACCGGCGGCATCTTTCTGCATAGCAGAGCTGTGTGTCTGCATTCTTTCGACAGAAATTTCTACATTGTTACGTTCTAAATTCACAGCTTTTGAAAGAAAGGGGCCGCGGAAGGGTCATTGTTTATAGTGTGGAACTTTGCTCGTCGTAGGCGAATAGATGGAGAAACTTTATTTAGTGTATTGAGAGACGCGACTAGCATGCAGTGGGCTTCACCCACTAGATGGCAGCCAAAAAATATCTGATCTTTTTCGAAAGGGAATATTTTGAATGTACACGGTGACTGGCACTTTGAGAAATATTTACATGGCATGGATGTAAACTTATTCAATTTCCATCGTGGCATGTGCAATGCAGTTTTAAACGAGGTACAGCACTGGCGGCTGCGTGGTTTTGAGTAGAGTTACTGTATATGCCAAAGGTAGCATGTACAGTAACATTAGTTTTGAGTTGCTGTGCGCGATGTCATGGATAAGATTCTTGCTCATTGCGCAAACGTCTGCGTGTGAAAGCATTTTTTCTGAGAGGAGTGCTGGCGCCAGAGCGGGCGTGATGTGGACGAGACCCGGGTCGCCACTTTGACAGCATGCAACAGGCCGCACCCCCGTTTTTATACAGCCGCCGTGCAATAGCTGTGACGAATATTTTTTTTTTTAGCTTTTGGTGTCGTTTGCTGAGACAAGAGAGCGATTTTTGGCCAACTTTGATAATTTATTGTGAATGGCAAGGCGCGTGCTGCGCTGTAATATTTGGCTCGCTTGTTCTTGGCAGCCTCGACTACCGATGTGCAGCATTTTCTGAGCATGCTGAGAAAATGTTGCAGGGCCCCTTTAAATTTGAAGTATGACTTTGCGACAGAGCAGATTTCCCCAGGATAGGTGCTTTCACAGCCTAGCACTGCTTTATTGTAGCGAAACCACTTTTACAGGGGGTTTCATGTGGACTAATATACATCTATTCGTTCATTCACACGGAAAGCAGAAGAGAAAGTCTGAAACTTCATATTGCTAAAGTATTGTGCAACAGTTTCGGCAGAAAACAGCACTTTGCGATAGGGGGAGAGGCGCTGGAAGTTGTATAGGAGTATGTTCACTTAGGACAGGTAATAACCGCGGAGCCAAACCATGAGAGAGAAATAACTAGAAGAATAAAGATGGGGTGGATCACATTCGGCAAACATTCTTAACTCATGATTGGTAATCTGCACACTAACCCTCAAGAGGAAGGTGCATAACAGCTGCATCTTGCTAGTACTTGCCAATGCAGCAGGTACCTGGAGGCTTAGAAAGAGGATTCAGCCTAAATTGAGGACGACGCAGCGAGCGATGGAAAGTGATAGGTGTAATTTTAAGAGACAAGAAGAGGGCAGACTGGGTCAGGGAACAAACTGGGGTTAAGGATATCATAGTTGAAATCGAGAAGAAGAAATGGACATGGGCCGGACACGTAGCACGTAGGCACGCTGGTCATTAAGAGTAACTGACTGGTTCTCAGAGAAGACAAATGCACAAAGGGGAGACGGAAAGTTGGGTGGTCTGATGAGATTTTCGCATGTTTAATGTGTCAGCAGAAAGCACAAGACCCATTTGATTGGCATATCATGGGAGAGCCCTTTGCCCTGTAGTGGGCGTGGTCAGGCTGATGATGATGATGATTTGTTCATTGTGAATACTTCGAAATTCTTAACAATTTAAATTTCAATCGAAGTGAATTCGAGTTTGTTCAAATATTTGCACAAGCCTAGTTTTAGAAAATATGGGGCCATGTACTTTTAGTTAGTTTCACATACCTAAAGGGGCCCTGCAACACTATTTGAGCATGGTCAGAAAATGCTGCTGATTGGTAGTAGAGATTCCCGAGAATGCGCAAGTCAAATACTAATACAGTGCAGCACACAGCCTGGAATTTACAATAAATTATTGAAGTCAGATAAGTATTGCTTCCTCTTCTCTCAACAAATGACGGAGGAAGCTGAAAAATCTCTCGTAAAAGGCCTTCAATCAGCCATTGGCCGATTTGAATATGACGCGCTCGGTCGTTACAGGGGTCGCCGCGGGAGGCTGCGGCTTGTTCACGTGTGTATGTTGCACTGAAAAAGCCACGTATTAAAAAAATGTGCTCAAGGTCACGAAGCGCACATGATGTATTTTCTTGGCCCATGCAATCTCCCTTCTCACTTAGCTTCAAGCGCTTTCATCGGGACGAGAGAAGAGAGAATGCGAACTTAATCTAACCTAACCTAAGATGCAACAAATCTTTGTAACTCTGCTCGTACTGGACGGGTTCTTAAAATTTTTGTGGCATCGAATTCATGAGGCAATAAGCTCTTTTAGCGAGTCCATTACATGGTTACTTGAAAAAGTGTTTCAGGGCCCCTTTAACATGGTCTGCTTCATTAGAGTGCAATCAAGGTTGAAACGACCCAAATAGTACATTGTTTCAATGCACTTGTAAATAGTCCCTGGCCACATACTACTTTCCTCAACTTGTTCTTTCTGGTTACCTTGTGTGTTTTTGCAGGGAATGCAGTACTTCATTTCTCAACGGCTCGTGAAAGATGTCCCCATTGAAATTGCCAGGTTCCTGCACAATACCAAGCGGCTGAACTCTCGCCAAACACGGCTGTATTTGGAGTCAAGGTGGGAAGTCATCTGAGTGATTTCCAAATACTCACGCACATGTCCGTGCTTGTATTGAAACCAATTCTCAGGATTCAAAAAGCGTGTTTGTAGTTTTAGTACTAAAGCCTAATACACTGTAGGTATACAGGCCTTTATTTTTACATGGTGTGATGCTTACTAGGTAGAAACCAAGAAATGTCATAATGAAAGAAGTGCAGTTATTTTTTTTAAGAGTGATGCTTTCAGGAGACAAGTGCTTCTTATACAGTGGAATCTCGTTAATACGTTTCAGCGTATTATGTTTATTGACCTAGTACGCTATTGTTTCTTCTTCTGGACAACATATCTTTTGGTTAACTGCATTGGTTGATACGATTTTTGTATAATACATTTTATTTTCCTGTACCCATGGAAAACGCATCAACGAGAGTCCACTGTGTACTACATTAAAGCAACTGCTTGTGTATGTAAGTTGTCGTCTGGTGAGATGATCTTTTGTGCACTTTATCCAGCCGTTGCAGGATGTACAATGTTGGTTGAAAAATCAGTTAATCAATTGATCAGCTTTGGACGTCTGCAAAAATGTGCCACCGAACTTGTTCAAAATAAAAATGAATAGGTTTGAATTTGTGGTGCCGCTCATCTAATTATTGTGTCATTCTTTGCGAAATGAAAAACCACAAGACAATGCTGCATTGAAGTGCACCTGTGTCAAGTGGGCAAGTTCATTCCACTTATGCGGAGTACACTGCAGTTAAGGCACTATTTAATAAAAGTCTACTACTACTACTACTACTACTACTACTACTACTACTACTACTACTACTACTACTACTACTACTACTACTACTACTGCTACTACTACTATTACTACTACTACTACTACTACTACTACTACTAGCAAATCTAAATGGTGCAAATGGAACGTCACTTGTTGAAGAGTATACTCTAGTCAGAGTGTGTTTTGTGAACACACCTATCTACATCTCTGCCACTATTGACTTGCAACATTTGTATAAAAGACAGCTGTACTTGTGAAAAAAAAAAAAATTTTGTTTTTATTTATGGTTACACTTGAAACAATCACATTTCTGAATTCTTGTTTTCTTTTTTATCCACATCTTCAAAAAACACCCTGTCCGTCTGTCGTCATTTCTTCTAGGCTACAAGTTAGCTGTGTTTTCCCATACCCTCAAGTGTCAGTCAGAGTTCTAAAGCATGCTCTCCTTTATAAGGGCAATTATCTTGCCCGCTTCACAAGGGTATTGCATGGTGCATACCTACGGCTTCTATTGATGTGACACGCTATTTCGCCTTTGTAGTGTTGCTTATCAAGTATAAAACAGGGTTTAGTGCATGTTAGAGTAGCAGTGGCCTTACACAAAAATCTAAAGTCATGTTGGAATGGTTGTACTTTCATTAGGCGCTTTAATGAGGAAGTTAAAGGTGAGGAGAGTGAGAGAAATTGACCAATCGACGCCCATTGCATGTTGAAGCGAGAAACAGCTGATAAATGAGGGAACCAGGTGGCACTTTCACTTGGCACCCATTCGCATAGGTTGACTAGTCTTGTCAATGTGCAGCCATTATAGTGGCTGTTGAAAGAAGTGTTTTTACAGAGAACAGCTCACTTAGAGTTTTCCAAGAGGTAACTCATTGTTGTGAAGGAATACCATGGGTTTCATTTTTCTTTACATACTCGCATACGCCAGAGTAAAAAGTGACATTGAAAATTGCAGTGGAGCTATCTGCAGGAATTATTTATTAATATTTTATGTGTGTGCCACACACGCAAAGGATGAAGAGGGAAGTGAGTAGGGAGCTGTCTGACAACAGCCACGGAGTGTGGCACACCTGCGTACTCTATTGGGATGAGGGAATAGAAATTGGAGACTCGAAAAAGGAAAGTACGTAACGAGTAAGGAAATAATCAAGTGATAGGTTACAAAGGCAAAAGAAAACCAGTGACAAAAAAATTTACTACTGTAAAATACCAAGCAAGTGCCCCCGTCCATTTTCAGAGGCCTGAAATATGCTCCAGTGACTGAGCAAGCACTTCCCCTCTTCCCTTCCCCTCTTCCCTTCCCCTCTTCCCTTCCGCATCCTTCTCGCTATTTTTCTGAGCTAGCTCTCTGCTACAGTATTATGGAGCTGGAGCGCAAGTTCTGAGAATCTTTAGATATGCGCACAATTTCATATCACTTTTACACTGTAGTGTGTCGGAGTTGCATTATGAGTTGTCAGAAATAGTCGCAAACTGTTAAAAGAACATCTTGCCCTCTTGTAATGCATGAAATTTCAACTGAGGATTCCTTCTGGTTCAGTAAAAACAGCAAATGCATACACATTGAATAAAGCATTTCATTAGAAGCACAAGTGTGCATTCTTCTGGGAAGCTGTTTCTCCACCACCCGGAATTGTGTTCCGGGACTGAGCAGAGTACCTCCCAATCCAAATCTTGTCCGATTAACACTCACCAGGGAGAGTGGGGGGGTTGCTTGCCTAGGATATCATGCTAAAGTTTGCCAGAGTAGGAACACTGCAGACTTATACGATTGTAGAAGGCAAAAAACACGCAGCTTGTAGTAATTGAAAAAAGAACATGTTTTGTTGTCTTTAAGAGAAAATTTCCTCTAAACAGGAGGCCAAGCCAGCCCTGAAGAAGTAGTAAACTGGGCACAGTTATTCTGTTCGCAATGAGAAGCACGTTCGATTGGAAACAGGCAATCATCAGCAATCATAAGCCGTAAACCAAGTAGACTGCCGTGCTCTGCGAGTATTTATACTCACTGCACAAGGATATCTGAGACATTGGAATGTGTAAATAGGGCTGGATCGAAATGTGTCCGGCAAGGAATCGATTCTCCATTCACCATAGCTGTAGTTGTGGACCAGCGGAGATTAGTAGCAGCTGTGCACTGCTGTGGTTGCAGACGGCAGGTGCTGGATCACCTGGTGGAGCTCCAGAACTTTGAGAACCAGCACTTGCCAGAGGCACTGCGACGCTTCTTCCAAAGTCTGCAGGCACCCAACACCCAGAACAGCTACCTCAGGGCCCTGCTGGAGAAATTCTCTCTGCGATTCTGCAAGTGCAACCCTCACTTGGGCCTGAGCTCGGGTGAGTTTCGCCTGTGCTCTGGACTGGTTCCATAGAGAGCTGCCTAACCCTTTACTTGTTGGATAGCTTGGCGAAACTTTTGGAACTCACCTAGGCTCACTCGGGAAATATGTTTTGAGCTTTGGACTTATTCGGACTCAGACTCACAAAAATTTTTCAGAGCCAAACTCACTTGGACTCGCTCTCACAAAAATTTTCTTCAGCCGGATTCACTCAGACTCAAACTCACCAAAACATTACTCGACTGCACTCGCTCAGCCTCAGACTGAGTCTGAGCAAGTCCAAGTGACTCAGACTCACAAAAATTTTTTAGAGCCAAACTCACTTGGACTCGCTCTCACAAAAATTTTCTTCAGCCGGATTCACTCAGACTCAAACTCACCAAAACATTACTCGACTGCACTCGCTCAGCCTCAGACTGAGTCTGAGCAAGTCCAAGTGAGTCGGCTCATGAGTGAGTTCGCCGACCTATGACCTGTTGTAGACAAACTTGGCTCTCCATACACTTTGCATGCCCAATGGCGTGCTGTGAATCGTCTGTGGGGCTCAAGTGGCAAAGTGCACCAGCTACTAAACATGATCCGAGCAGATCGACGCAGCTATTTTCTTTTTCAAGCACCGGCGTTGCCTTGATACCATATCATTATATTACTACAATATCACAAACAAACGAGACTAGAAGCCCTGTAAGGAAGCCAAGTTTCTCCCATGTGTCTTCGTTTTTTCTCCATGTTCTCCTATGAAAAACATTTTGGGAGGTGACAGTGGAACTGACAAACATTTTTTTTGTTGAGTTGGCACAGAAATATTTAATGCTTTGTAATAGTTTCCTTTGTGCATTTTGATGAACTGACTTGAGGAATGTATACACTGGACCCTTGTAAATTTGACACTAGTCTAGTCACTTTTGAGTTAATGTCCTGGCCGGTGCTCCTTACATATCTAAACCAAGAAACCTTATAATAGTAGTTGTAATCGTGAAATTAGCATTTGTGAGCATTTGTTTAAAACTTGGCAATTTTATGTGTACACTGTCGAAATGCCAACTTCAGTAATGGCTTCAGCAGCAGCATCCGACATAGCAGCACTTAGGGAACAATGAATGCATCAAACTCACATCATCTCCTGTCTGAATAGTTCTTTTACCTGCCTCAGCGGGATCCTAACAAAATAAGTGCTGACATAGCTTGCAGCCTGATACATTGGGCCATTTGGCTGAGTTACGCGTTACTATAATCTTTAGAAGCCAGTGTTTTGACGATGGGTAGCGAGAATATGTTAGGTGTGTAGAGGCCAGTAAAGAATTCACCCTTGCACTGGTTGTAAAAGCTGTAGATACTCTATCCAAAGACTGTCGAAGGAGTCTGACACTGAACAAAGCTGAAGAGTGGGAGTTTCTAGAAGGGGCATTCGTCAATAGCGGAAGGCCCAAGATGCGCATCATCATGGTCTCGGCAACGCTTGCAAAGTGAAAGGTGTGCTTTAAGGACAAATTTATATGACTAGATTGCTTAGTTATTAGAAAAATTTTTGAAGGATAAACATCTATAAGCAAGTGTTTTTCAAAAAAATATTAATCTCATTATACTGTTTTCACTCCCATGCCAGAGTAGCATTTCTGCACCATGTGCATACAGCCAGCGTCAGTTCAAGGAGGTCACGCTTGCTTGTCAGGTGTCAGTATCTGCCCTTTGCACACATGATCCTTTGGTGGATTGTAGCTGCACTCTAATAACGTGCACCCTACTTCTGGGAGTGAACATATTTATAGTAAACTTCCTCATTTGTTGCTAAGCGTTCACGCTGTAGTTTCTTGTCTGTGGTGCACCCTTTAGCGCTGGAGTTTTTACCGCTTTGTTTCTCCGACTGGCCCAAAACAGTGCACAGCCTCTTTTTGGGTAATAAAAGTGATGATGCAGATGAGGTACAGTGGCACTTAGAGGAGTTGAAGAAAGGCACAGGTGGAGCTGAGATTGGTAGCTTCAAGCGTCGGCTGCGATTACATCATGCAGTATGGACATAAAGCAAGAATCAAGGTGGAATGACAGGAGTTGTACATAACAGAATATAGAATTCAGCTGGCGTGATTTTGTCACTGAGCATCGTCCAACATTTATGTAAATTGAGGCAACGATTTGATGCAGTGGGGAAATGCTGAGAAGAGAGCATGCTAGAGCCGGTGTTTTGTAGTGATGCCTTATTCCTTATTCGATGATGCGCTTAACCCACTTGTGTCTGGCTCATCTCATTGATAAGGGATACAACCATTAAAAATACCATTAAATACCATTAAAAATGCCATTAAAAAATACTAGCCCAGTTCTCTTTTCTTTCTATGGCTGTAGCCTAAATTTCCCCAGCTCTCTTTACTGCACTGGGGCTGTTTGGTGTACGTTCAATGTTACTGGTGGAAAACCCTGGTACAGCTTCTTCGCATATGCCATGCTTGTGTCACATCAGCTGCCATGCTAGCTAGCATTGTCATTGCTAGGCTGTAGAGAAATTTTGGAAATGCCTGTGCACTCATCATTAAGTTGCCTTCTGGAACTCACTGAAAAATGTTGCTTTAACAACTACCAATGTGATTGCATACATAAATTGCAAATGAGATTGTTGGGGAGGATATTTTTATAACCAGCAATTTAGTTTCAATTTATTTTCATTCATATTTTTTCCACACTGCCGTTGCAGACATGGTGTACATCCTGTGCTTCTCACTCATCATGCTCTCAGTCGACCTGAGCAGTCCCCACATCAAGAACAAGATGTCCAAGCGCGAATTCATTCGAAATGTTCGTCAGGCTGTGCACCGCACTGATGACGAGTTTTACGGGCACCTGTATGATGACATCTACCTGCGTGGACACGTTGCCCCAAACTCCGAGGACTGAAGGCCGTCCAGTCACAAAAATTGTTCAGTTATCTCCTGCCTCCACCCCCCTCTCCTCAATCCCATCATACGTCTTGAAATTCACCTGCGGTCTCATCAGTCTTACTGTCTTTATTTCGCAGTCTTGCCTTGGCTGTGTTTGTGGTTGTGACGCATACCAGTAGGATCGTCTCATATTGTTTTTCGATAGCTGTGCAAAGGCCACCTTTAGGTTGAGCGTGACTTTAGTGCATGTCACTGTTTTGGTCTCATCAGGTAGAGCAGGTTTGTTTCTCGACCCACTGGCCAAGATCAAAGTGTCGTGTCAACTTGTAGTTCGACTGACACCACCTAATTAGCGCTTTTTTTTTCCTGCTCAGTACTCGCACAAAATGCTCTGCGACTGAAACTAATGCCAACCACGTGCTTGCATCAAGCATTGTTATGCGAACATTCACGTAACATACTAACATCTCCTGAAACCATGTTAGTAGTCACAACTTGCATTGCTCACCACAAGTACTTGCTCAGGTTCTACTAGCAGAGCACCTGCCAAAAAGGAGCATGTTAGGTTTTAATAAGGTGGTTTAGTGTGGCTGCACAAGGGAGTGTGGGCCAGCTGTGGACAAATGTAATATATCAGCTAGACACTACCCTTTATTTACAAGTGCAGACGTGCTTTTAATAAGATAATGGCCCCGGACTACTATAATGCTAAGACATCAGCAGTGTATGTAACTTACAGCAACTTTGTGGCCCACTATGAGCTGCCATATTTTCTTCTAAATCTTGCTTATTTGCCACGTGGCAGTTGAAGTGGGGCGTGCTTTTGCAGATTGTGCATGAAAGAGCTAGTCATACAGCTGTAGTGAACTGAACTTGCTAGTCTAGAGCAGGTGCATCTATTATTTATTGGACATTGTTCTCTCGCATGAATAAAACTTGTTCATTGGACATATCTTTCTGGTCTTGCTTTTAATTACAGTTTCACCAAGTTCTTAATGAAGGTGTTTACAAAAACATGCCTTTACAATCAACGTCTTGGAGCTTACTGCAAGGAAAGCAACTAGCTAGCTCCTCTTTCTACAGCGAAAGCCGCTATGACATCACAACAGTGGCCGATTTTGGTGGCACAGTTTTCTGCCGCAGGTATTCGTAGCAGCTATCGCGCACTCTGAGAAAAACCGCCAGGCCTGCTCAGAATGTGCAGCATAGCCACAGCAAAAGTGGGAAAAGTGGCTTTTCAAAGCCATTTTTAAACACTGTTTGGGTAACTGCTACAACCACACTTGCTGGGTACCCACTATGTCATAAATTATAATTTTTGTGGGGGAGGCAGGCATTCTCTTTGCAATTCTTAAATCATTCTTCGGAGGAGCGTGGTATCCGCTACACTCTGCAAGGAATTTTGTGCAATTTCTTGTGATGCTGTGGCTCACGAGGATGAAGAATTGTGTCTGAAGGTATAGCAATGTGTTGGAGCATTGGACACCCACTCATTACGCCACTCGCATTGTGAGACTGCCTGTTATATCAACACCATTTGTTGGGCTAGCTTCAAGACTTAATATAGCCGACACAGAGTAAAGAAACACCTGTCCTTTTTGTGTGTTCCAGTAATCTGCGTTATTTCGCAGCTATATTCTTGTAATTCCTTGACCGATATCTAGCCCATCTAGGGTCAGTTTGGAATACATTTACAAGCACAGGCTTGGCTCAGTGGTATAACACTGGGCTGGCATACAGGGGACCCGGGTTAGAATCCCATTATGTTCTTGGTGTTTTTATATCCTGAATTTTTTCTTATTGCGTAGCGCACAACTATGGCGCACGCGACCCTTGTCGTGATTTCGTAACAGCTTTCACTGCAAAAGAAATAAGGGTTTGCGAAAGATTTGAATCAAAGCACTTTGTGCAGCAGTTGGTACACTACCACTATCAAGCCTTGGGGAACTTGAAAGTCCGTTGAAAGGCTACACAGATGCCATGCTTGGCAAAGGAATTATGTTAACAGATGTAATATGGCACGGTAGACAACAAAATAGAGACTAGTATCACACAATGAAAAGTGTGTAATGAGTTGGAAGTTTAAATCTTACCGCCCTTTACAATGTATTCAGCCATAACATTTCGCAGTCATCAGCTGTAGCTTCAACAAAGTGCTCATGGTGGCTTACAGACACATAGTGCGTTTTTGCACTGAATAAGGGAGAGTGGCATAGCAGGTAGCACCCTACTTCACAAATTTATTTGCTAGAAAGGCTGCTCCTCTGGCTTTCAGTGCGATAGTGCCTCATGTTCTGCGCAGGCCTGATCTTTTAACAGCAGAGCTTTTTAAGGTTTTCATTGCAGCAGGTAGTGCTAACAGAAATTCATGAATTGGCATGTGCTAGCTTCGTGGTCTTGATCTTTTGCTTTGCTCTCACAACATGTATGTCGATTTGTCCAGCGTGGAATGCAATAACTAGGACAGGGGAGTATATTATATATGTTACAGGTCAAAATACATGTAGCCACAGGACTAATAAGTGTTGAAGCAGAATCGCGAGTTGGGTGAGTTGGTGGGTGTTCATCGTGGAATATTTTGCAGCGCAACGGGCTAGATACGGACAGCTGTGTCAGCGCTGTGTCCCTTCTCTGTCTGTATCTAACTCATTGTGCTTTAAAATATTCCGTGATGACTAATCAAGTATCGAGTGTCTAAAATCACAAAGCACCATATAGCAACAAATCCCATGATCAGAAATCGTGTAACACTGCGTTACTACTCGCGTGACTACACGTCACAATATTTTCGTTATGCGACTAGTTACGTGATGGTACGAGATTTTCAGTCACATATGTCGACGGTTGCAGTGCAGTGATTCCGGCGCTCGGCTGCTGACCGGAAGGTTGCTTGTTCGATCCAAACTGCAGCGGTTGCATTTTGATGGAGGCAGAACGGTAGAGGCCCGTGCACTTCGTAATGTTGGTGCACGTTAAAGAACCTCTGATAGTTGAAATTTCTGAAGCCTTTGACTACAGCGTGCCTCTATCAAATCATAACAACTGGTCACATGACTAAATCACGCACCATCTAGGCACGTAATTAAAGATCTTGACTAGTTACCACATTAACTCGGTCACATTATTCAAATTGCATAAAATCTAATTATGGGATTAAAATTACATAACATTTTAAATGGACTAAATTGACCTAAAAATGGCTGGGTCGTTTGGAGTGAAATAATCCATGAGCAACGCGTGATCCTATGTTCCAGCATGTTTTTGTCTCTCCAAATATCAATAAAGCAAACTTTGTTCAACCGTTGTATTCACTGTAACGCTACATTTTTAACTGCAAAGTTCAATGCACAAATTTCAAAATATGCGATGACGAGGCGAATGGCTGCTATTAAAAAGCGAGTGAATATTATATATTAAACTGCAAAATTCACTAAATAGCTAGTAACTTGTGCCATGATGGAACAATTGAGTGTTCTATATGGCATAGATAAACGTCCATTAATCATAGGTAGTAGCATATACAGTAACTCTAATAAATGGTGGCTATGTGCGCCATGGGACAGCGTCTCTTGGTGGCCATAGATGCTGTATCATTGCAATCGAAGACTCGTGCGAACTCTTCAAACTGCATCAGGGGAATGTTGACACGGTCCTCCGGAGGAAGTTCACCGTGTTCGTGCCACCGGCGCCTCCGGCGGACAGTATCGCTGACCTCACAGTTGTCCTGCCCGTACGCCACGAAAAAGAGTTGCTCGGGCGTGAGTTGTGGTAAACCTGCCAGCCGGAAATTGGAATTAACGAAGCGCCTTGCTCGTAGATTTTCCTGCATAAAGCAGTCCAAAGACAAGATACGACTTATATTCAGTGAAGTATACTTTTTTTTAAGGGGCGAAGCTCCTTAGCAAATGGGTTGTTCCCTGGCAGCATGTTGTAGTAGCCACTTCTAGTTAGTTTTATGAATTGACTAAATGGTGTTGTGTGTATATTTCCTTGGAAATAATATCGCTAGATGGTGTTAGGGGTTTTTGTATAGTCGACGATTAAAGAAGATAGATTGTGCTGTTATAAGAAATTTGCAGCCTATCTCTGGAGTGAACGATGATGGGTGGGGCCGTCTGTCTGATGCATGCTCTAGTGTGATAGGAGCACGTGGATGTACAGGTGGACAGTTTGCCCCACTCATCATCATTCACTCCGTGGATATTCTGTGAATTTTTTTAAATGCTGTGGATGACGAGAGCTTACGCAATTTTCCGAACGCTGTTTTTAGTTTTGAAGTTTGTGTGAGCCAAATATTTCTTCGTTACAACCACTAATTCGGGAGCTCTCAGGTCCGTTATACTAATAAAAGTAAAGGCCACTTAGCAAAGCGTTACCAATGAAAGTTTGTACTTGGGTTGCTATAAACAGTAATTTTCTATATCAGCATTTGGCATTGAAGTGCCACCAATGAATTATTGTATTCTGTTCACTATAAACGATAATTCCTTATATTTGTGTTCGCCATATAAGCGCTGCCAATTGAAATTCATGTTTAGTTTGCCATAAGTAATAATTTGATATATTGGTGTTCGTTATGTAAGGACTGCCAGCAAAAGTTGGTATTTAGATCATTATAAATGATAATTTGCTGCATGAATTCGTTACGATGAGGTTCAGGTGTATATATGAGGGAACGAAATGACCACTATGATATCACATTCTCATTTTGTTATTTGTTGTGACATGCTTGTGGCAATAATGTTATCAATCTTTATTGATGCCTTGTAATCCAGAATATGTAATCCAAGCTTTTGCATTTAGAAAATGCATAAACAAATTAAGAGTGGTGACACCTCAAGTTCGTGCACCACATCGCTGTAATGTTAAATTTTGATAAGGTTTGCTCAGGCTTGCTCAACCTCTTATAAGCAGAGATGGACTATGTTGTACACTTAGAAGGGTTGAACACTGAAGTTTTGCGGCTTTTGAAAACCATTATTTTGTTACAAAAGCCGAAATAAAGCATGCTTATTCACTGAGGAAGTAAATATATAGCATTAGGGAAAAACTATAAGGTTAAATTAGTCTCAAATAGTCGTTTCTGTTTTGTATCCTTCAAATTTAGTGAACGCAGGGCCTGATGAATAATACTACAAACTACGAAATTTCAGAACTGTATACCTTGAAAACTGAATATGCTTGCACGAGAGCGGTTGTCTGGTCCAAGAGAGCATGGCCAAGTCTGGTACGGTCGGTCATCTTGTTCAGGAACGCGCTCTTGAGGTTCCTGCTGGCGTTCTCGTACTGTTCCACCAGGCACCTCGTTGTGTCGTTCAGTCTCTCGTGGTAGCCCTCATACACTTCGGAGCTGTTAGGCTGCTCGTGGTTTTGTCGAAGCATTGGTGCTAATGCCTTGAAAGCTCGTACAGCGTAGCGAGCGGCATGCACGACAAAGGGGACGCTGTCAGCGGGGAAGGTCCAGTTGAATATTATCATCGGCACATAGATGGTGAGGGATGGTGCGTCATATTTGGCATCGGTGCTGAACAAGGACGCTACACTTAGGTTCTCAGATGCGCCTCGGAGCGCCTGCTCAATTTCATCCTGTCGCAGCATCTTAATGAAGAAGCAAAGGCGCTTCAGCGAGTTGCTCGGGTCCAGGTTGAGGGCGACACTGAGCTGCCGCTCTAAGCCTTGAGCATACGGACCGAAGCTGGAGTCATTTAGAATCCATTGTGGTACAGCAGATTTGATCTTGAGACTATCCAACTTATGTCTGGTAACCTGGGTGTTGTGAGCTGACACGGGTGCAGGCTCCCAATTCTGGGTCACTATTCTGTTCAATTCTGATGACCACATTCTTAACCAGTTGGTTAAATTCGTCATCTGTAGCGCGAAAGCGCGCGCATAGATAACCGGGAAAACGCGTTCTATTTCACGCGTGCAGAAGTCTTGAGCAGAGGCATTCTCC